TGTATCATTATCTTAACAGGGTCTATCAGCAGGTTCTCATCAGAAAAATCGACACAAATTAAAGTCACAGTGCACGGCCCTCTTTGTCAATGCACTGCTGGATGAAGGGCCTCCCCGTGAGGATTGCTCGACCACAATTCACCACGAGTGTCATTGCGAGTTTGCTGAGCCGGGTGGTTGTGGCCAAGACCAGTTCGAACAAAAAACCACACCTGTCACTGAAGTCAATCTCCCTGGCCAGGAGTCAAATTCGAGTTAACAGGGCACATGGCGGGGTCGTGCTAACCTCTGCAATCTTCGCCGCCGCAACCACAGTAGGGATGTAGGTGTAGGGGGTGGGGTGGATTAAAGAGGACTTTTTTTCTCTTCAGAATATGACGCAGGCCGCTAATGTGCTGCAGAACACTTAAACGCGAGCGCTGCAGTTCCCCCAATAAACATTAACGTCAGACGCTGTTCTACTAAATGAGGCAATGTTCCCCAGCACAGAATTAGTCTCCGCACGCAAACAACGCGCATCACTGTGTCGCGAAGCCACAAGGTATAATAATAATATAACAATCTAGTGGCGCTGCTTGTGCTCCGAGCACACACAGATATTAAATAAATGCACATTTTCTGAACCACAAATTATGTGCAATGCATCTATTGTATATCCTGATGTATGACGATTGCTTGTAATAGTGCTTGGATAGTGTTGTGATGGGCGACCACCAGGCATAGGTTGCAGGGCTACATGCCGAGCAGTGCAGCAATTTCCACGATGTAGTTGTACTGCACTTCTATACTCCCACATCAATGCTCCCTACCTTCACCTACCCGCACTGCCCAGTGTGGTGGAATCCAGCCCAAATAACTCACTCAGGGAGGGGGGGATTCACCATCAGCGGACCAACTAAAGCGCTGCAACTTGTTATGAGCCTTAACTTAGTTGTTCAGCCGGGAGGAGTCGTTAGATGCGCTCCGAATCCAATCGCAGTTGGCTTCTTGTGCCTCGAGCTTTGCCCAATAGGAACGGAGCCAAGAATACCCCGCGACGTAAAATGAAAATCGGAAGCAGCGGACCCGCTTGCAATTTGGCTCGGTGTTCCGCAGTCGTGCCGAGGAGTTCGGTGTCCCGGATCGGCCGGGTGGGGGGCTGGGTGGGGGTCCAGTCGCACACAACGAGCGCCGGCGGAGCGGAGCTTTAGGAGTAAATGCGGCAGCGTGGCCAGGGCCGACTTAGCGAAGGGCGGGTTTATTTGGACTGGATCCCACCACACTGGGCAGTGCGGGTAGGTGAAGGTAGGGAGCATTGATGTGCGAGTATAGAAGTGCAGTACAACTACATCGTGGAAATTGCTGCTTTAAGGCTCGGCAACCCATGGCCTCGGATTTTGAGACCCTCCACCACCCCCATCACCCCCACCACCCCACTATTGTTTTTGTTTTATGCAGCTTTGTGAACGTTTGAATTTCAATACTCTGCATTACTATTGCACTGTAACGAATTCTGTTGGTAATGTGATGGTGTTTGCTGCTATTAAGTCACCTCGTGATGAGCCACTTTGTTTAGGTATCATTTGTGGCCAGGCCGCTTCCGTAAAATAAGTTAATAGCTCAGTGGACTTTACCTGGTAAGATAACAATATAGTTCAGTTGTATTTGTATATATTCTATACTTTGCACTCCGATCTTTTGTGTTTCTGTGTTGTTTGTTGTTGTAACGTTCTGACCCGCCCCTACTGGACATCTGTGAAAAAGAGCTTCATAGCTCATCGGATTCCTCCAATCTAAATCAATATTCTGATTCTGATGTGCATTATCTTGGACAATGCAGATCTCCTCGTGTGCATATCGACATCAAATCCCTAGCACCTTCCAGTCTTAAATCGAGACGGCCACTCTAGAAGGCACCGCTCGACGCTTCTGTCAGCCGAACAGGACCCTTGAACCACCCAAAGACAGGAGACGTGGGGTGGGGAGGTTACGGTGGAGTTCCCAACAAGAACCGCACTGAAGACCTGGCAAAGGAGCAGCTCTGGGTCGTCTCTGCAGCCCTGACGACGGTGGGGACCTCTCCCAAGCGCGTCTCAACAACAACAGCACGTGGAGGAAGACGGTCTGCGGGATATTTTCTCCATTGATGGAAGAGGTGCTACCCATCAGGCGTATCTCGATGATCACTGCTCCAATACAACGCACGTGCTCTGGTGGAACGAGCGGTCTCCACCCAGCTACCCCAATACAACACACGGACTCCTGTGGAACAAGCAGATTCCACTCAGCTACCCCAATACAACGAGCGGAGTTCACTCAGCTTCCACCCCGGATGCAGTGGATTGGCTTACAAAATAAAAATTACAATTATATCCTGATGATTTTTTTTTCAAACGCCATATGAAAGAAGATCTGCGAGTGTATGAATTATATTGGCATCCAGCCACATCCATTTCACCTTAATATGTCCTCATGATACTACTGCAAGTGGTGTGTTGGTATACAGGGAACGATAAGACAGGATTAGTATGGATGTGGGGTAGCTTGTAGTCTCGTGGAAGTGCCGAATGCTGATAATCCCTACACTAGGAACCGGCCCAGCAGCGTTATGAAAAATATCGAGTGAGACATTAAGCCCCTTTGACATTACAAGGGAGCTATGTGCTAAAGCGTATTTTTTTTTTACTTTAATGTTGAGTTACAATTCGTATCTCTTTTTAAAACCGGATCTGAAATTATCAAGCATTTTAAAATGCATTGTTTGGCATTGGGCGTGCAATGGTGGTGGTGGTGGTGAAACATTAAAGCAAAATGAAGTTAATATATTGTTGGTGATGTATATCTGTTGGGCTCCCTGGAAGTGCACTTGGAAGGAAAACGAACCCAATCAGGCAACTGAGTTGAAGATCCGCATCCTGGCATGGTTCAAGCACGGAGCCTCTTTCCTTCTGTGCTAGGTTGGGCATTCAGACACGAGTGCAGTGGGGGGAGAAGCGCTGTGCCGTGTCGTGGTTTCTGTGTTGGTGGCCTCAAGGTGCACGTGGCCTGGCACAAGCGTCGTGGTGACGTCACCGCCACTTAATGGCGAATGGCGGTTGTTGTTGTGTTGGTGTGGTGCTGTGTGTGTGGTGCTGTGTGTGTGGTGCTGTGTGTGTGGTGCTGTGTGTGTGGTGCTGTGTGTGTGGTGCTGTATGTGTGGTGCTGTGTGTGGGGAGCGGTTAGCGCTACGCTGCGCTACGAACCCGGCGACCCGAGTTCGGTTCCCGCTCAGGACCACCAACACCATTGACGATTATCGGAACGGGTCCTGGGCCTCCCCTAGGTCGACTCAGCCTCAAATGAGTATCCGGTGCAGTGTGTAAACATCGCCACTCGGGAGACAAAGGCCGACTAGGTGTGATGCTGGCCACCCATCCCCTTGTGTGCCGTGCCAGCCTTCATAGGCGCTCACTAACAGCACTTACACCTACAGTATTTCAAGGCTATACGGGGGGATATTTGTCTTCGATGTGTGTTTGTATGAGTGTTGTAGCCGCGGGTGTTGACACCCTGGCATCCCTTGCAAACGAGATGTCCCATATATAAGAATATGTTTTACCTTTTCTGTCAATAAAACAGGAGGTGTTAAGATGTTCAAACACCAAACAGAAACCTTTTACAAGGAATCATGTCCGCATTAGCCACACGTACTTCTGGCGAACATGCAAACAAAAACATGCTCTGGTAGTATTTGCAGTCTTTGGAACTGATTGGTCTGAACCAGAGACAGCCTTCTTCAGGCCCTAGTCTCAACCAGTGTCAGCATGTTCACCACAAATACGCGTGCATAGAGCAGACACGATTCATTGCAAAACAATTGTCTTGCCAGAAAGGGCAAAACCTATTCGTATACTTTGATACTGGCGAAAAAAGTCCCATGAGATGTTCCATATCCGATGGATAATTCCAGTAAAAAAAAAATTTACGAATACAAATTGGAGACAATCAAAAACCCCACGTCAAACTTCAACTGGCCCTCATCTCCGCCAGTCGCTCCGAGCCACGAGGGCCGCACTTGTTACCAATTGTAAGCAGATGGCGGTGGAGAGTTGGAGATGACAAATTGGATGTTGACTGCCGGAGCTGAAACTTCAATTGCCAGTGCGGTGGAGTGCGTTGTTGCCCTGTTTGCAGCGGCTAAGGCGCAGCCCACAGCAGGCAGCTACCAAAGTACAATAGCACGTTAATCACGCTCGTAAAAAATAAAACATAAAACACTCTCCCCCTGCTCAGGCAAGTGTTGGGTCGTGCTGCATATCCATTACTGGTCCTGAATCAGCGGTGGGAATTCCACATTCCTATGGCAGGGCCTGCGGTTAGCTGCGGTGTTCTGGTTAAATGCGCTGCGCTATGAACCCTGCGACCTGGATTAGATTTGATTCGTACCGACGGCGTGTTCGCGAGCAGCTCTTGACAGCCATCTGCGCATGTCCAACTTCGTGCATGGGACCCGCGCCTCTTCGTCATTGTCATCATCAGCCGCGATCAATCCACTGTTGGACGAATGTCTCCCCCCCCCCCCCAAAACCATTGGCATCTCTTACGATGCCATCCTTCCCTCCATCCCCAGGTACCCACCGTAATTCCCGTACCCACCAAACCTCCCTCCCCATACCCCATCCCTATTCACCGCATCACTTTCAGCTACCCTCATCGTTGTACCACTCATAACCCTTGTCAAGGTCCTTGGATGAAATCGCTATGTGAATATAAGACGAGATCAGAAGAAACTTGCTCAGTGTTTCAGCCGCCGTGCCGGTTGAGTAGCGAGTCGAGTTGTCCTCACCCCCGTGGCAGCATCTGCCCTCTGCGCAGGTGCCTCGATCTAATTGACGAGCGATGCGAACTCGGCGAAGACGTGACACTGACCGTCGCGTATATAAATATTGTTTTTGTTTACAACGTCAGGCGAAGGAAACAAATAATGCACACCGCGAAACGGTACCACGGACATCGCTGTTCAACCTTTACTGTCGCCCGGGTGTAGTGACACACACACACACACACATCCAACTCATCGTCATATTCATGGTCATACCACGCCGGCGGATTCGCGACAGAGACTGCTTCAATAGCGCTTCCCAACGACAGATAACCGCACGTCGAAACGAAACAACCCTTTTTATTAGAAGCCACTGACGTAAAAACCTCCGCACGCTGCGTGGATATAATCGCGTTCCAATATCGGTGAGCGCTGCAGCTGGGACTTTCTAAAACGAGCACGAGAACGGACACTCGACGGGGTAACGCACTCGACGTTCCGGAGACACCCTACGACTCACGTGCCCAGGAGCGACGTCTGCGCTTTGCTTGCGATTGCGGAGAGCGGCAAGCGGCAGCTGCGCTCCGAACCGCCGGGGACCGGTCGAGGGCCTCTCCTCGGTCGACTCGGCCTCAAATGAGTAGCCGGTGCGATGCGTGACTATAGCCACTGGGGGAGACAAAGGCGGCCGGGCGTGGTTGCTGGCCACCGACCCCCTCGTGTGCCGTGCCGGCCTTCATAGTTGCTGCTCGCGAACAGCACTTGCCCCAACAGTCTGTTACAGGCTATACAGGGGAGCTTTGTCTTTGTGAGGTTGTTTATATAGTTACGCATGGTTATGAACAGCAGACGTCGCATATACTCTACATCAATACACGTTCAATGAATAACCGTGCTCACTTATTGACTGGCTTAAGAAATATATATTATATATATAAAAGCGTCAAGCTGTTCGCGATCAACGGCGGCTCGCGCTCGAGTGTCCGTGACCTGCTTTGGACGGCGACAATGAACACGGAACGCCGCGAGAAACGTGAAGTGCCGATAAGTGAACGTGAAGATTGAAGAAGATCTCCGCTGCACACCCCACCACGCTCGTGCGTCTCAGCATTCGACGCCTCGCAGATGTGCGCGCAGGGAACGTTTCGTGCGAGTGCGTTGTGGCCCAGCGGCGTAGTGGGTGACAAGAGGGGGAGTGTGCAGGCGGATGTGACTGCGCCGTGAACCCGTGGGCTGGAAGAGGCCAGGTGACGGGTTATGAAGGGGAAAAGGGGAGGATGGGGGGTCGGGAGAGGCAAATTGCACAGAGGAGGCCCCATTTAATTCCCTGCGCCCTGACCCATGCCAACCACACTACCCCACTGATGCTGCCATATACATTTGTGTTGCCCTAGATATGTTGAACGCGCAGGATTCCGCGAACAATACTATCCACAATGGAGGGTGTTTTTTTTTTTTGGGGGGGGGGGGAGATCGCGTGAATATAAATGTAAACCCGCCACCAACTGACACAGCTAATCAGAAAGGTTTGTCACGTGAACAAAATGTGCCAATTAGTTTCTAGTTCTTAATAGACGAAACAGGAGGAGAATTTCTCCACAACTCTGGCTGGCGCCTGAATGATGGTTGTAATTACCGGCAAACCGTCACGGTAACTCGAATGGTAAACTGTTGCGCGTTTACTCTCCAACACACCGGTGTGCTGAACTAGTAACGATTTGGTGGCGGGTTTTACGATACATTTATATTTACGCAATCTAACCCCAAAAAACCCCTCTATTATGCCCCATGTATACTCGGGAAAGCCTCACTTAAGACGATTTATCAGTAGGGTCCTGCTACACGTTTGACCAATTGCGCTCGCGAGTGATTCTCTTCACATTGGAGGATTCCGGAGAAACCCCACCGCGTTTCCGAGGGGGTGACACTTGATTAAAGAGCCTGCACAGATGGATTCAATAATCCGCTATTGGCTATCTCGTGAGCATTTACGTTTTCTTCTCCTCCGGCGGGGGGAGGGGCAATATATAGTCTCTCATCATGTCTCGACATTTTTTTAATCTTGAAAGCACGTAGCAAGTTTTCTCGCAACAAAAATAAAGCTGACGCAAAAACAATAAATACGAACGCGATGTAAACATTCCACGCGACGGGGAACACGCGATCGTGTAATGTACAATAGCTGCTTGTGGTTCAACACCGCATTGGAGAGTTCACACCGTCGGTCTCTTTGTACATTTGGGATTTTAAAGAGGCAAAGCAACGAAATGGCTTCCGTGTCGGACATCTATCCCTTCCGTCGGCTCGTTTGCAAGCAACGGGAACGAGCAAACACTCGCCCTGGTTCTCTTTGACTCCAGCCAGACCGGCGGAGTCACTCAACATCAACCCCTACTCTTCTTGTCATCGATCGATCTCGTACCGATACGTCTATCCGCCTGGTTTTCTAAACTTAAACTAAACTGTTTTTTTCGATTTAAAGCTTTCGTGACTGCAGGGATTCATCTTCTAGGTTATTTCGGTAAAGTCACGTAGAAGGGAAATAATGTTTTATTTTTATTATTTTAATATTTCCCTTCTACGTGACTAAACTGTATTCTTGGGTCTTCCGGTGAAGTGACGGAGATCGGTTCAAAGAAAATCATCAAAATAACAGAAAACTGCGACGTTTCGATCGCGACGCGAGCGGTCGTCTTCCTTTTCCTGAAGACGATCGAAACGTCGTAGTTTTCTGTTATTTTTTATTGTTTTATTTTAACCTATCTACGTGACTTTACCGAAAGACCCAAGAATATGAATTCCTGCAGTCACGAAAGCCTTAAGTTAAAACTAAACTACGCTTTATTTTATTTGACCAGGTAAGGCCCACTGAGTTGTGTAACTCTATTAAAGAATCGACCTGGCCACGCCAAATTACAGTTTAACAAAGCGGCTCACCACCTAGACATTTATCGCAGCCAACTACTCTAAATTCAAGTTGATTCTAAATGTGGAGGGAAAAACCGGAGGACCCGGAGAAAAATCCAAGCGACCACGGGGAGAGAGACACGCACGCTCCAAATATACAGCAGGCGTCAGGGTCGGGATCGAAACCACGACCTCCTGCATACCTGGCGAGGTAGTGAACATCTCGCCACCGTGGCACCCCTACGTATCTTGCACCTCCTCTTGTTCCCTTCGTTTTCTTGAGCCACGATCCCTGCTTCAGTCAGTCTCGACGCTTTCAGGATTGCGACCGAATGAAGCATTTGATAAAGTCGTTTAGTGACAGGTGGCAGCGTTGAGACCTTTCCACTAACATTAACTACCAATATCCGCGTTGGGAGTTAACATGTTACCATTTATTGATGATGAAAAATAATATTAATGATAATAATCTGCAGGTGTAACTAAGCAGATGATATAGTAATACTGTAACAATAATAATAGCGTGATTGTATAAAAAGTAAAGTATACATACATACACACAATCACTTGGCCTATCGAGTCACAACTTTTACATTAAGAGCACAGGTGAACAATAACAACTGTATCACAATCCCAAAAGGGGTCAATAGACACACTTTGGTGCACACAACATTAAATCAACGTCGTCAAAACCCCAGTCGGTAGGACCGATGTCCTCCGATGTCTTTTTCGTGTTGCGCTGCAAAAACGCATTTTGACAGCTGCACAACACAACCGGGAACCCCCGTGCAGTCAATGCGACTGCACGGGTGCTCGTTGAATATGTAATATATTTGTGAGCAAATCATGTAAAAAATAAATTTCTTGTCTTTTTCTGAACTATCACATATGTATAAAATTGGGGTTAGGCCACGCAATCGTCTGGCAATATTTGTGTCACAAGACCCTCCACCACCCGACACAGCCAAACAGATTTGACTGCCACGTGCACAAGCGTAATTAACGTGCCAATTATTGTGATTTCCGCTCGCCGATGAGTCGCAAATACAATTTTGGCAGGCAAATTCAGCAATTAGATACCAGGAAGTTTCGCTAGAATCTGCATTCGGCATTTTCAGGGACCGAATCCAGTCATAGAGTATACCATAAGTGACAAGCTCTGCTTTACATAAATAAACCATTTGTGGTTCTACGCTCTCTTCCCCAATATTAAGTTTGCCAATTGGTTTTACGCAGAGCAGGGGATGGATAATATAATTACATCGCTGGATCATTCGAGGCGACAGGCTGTGGCTTGGGGAAACTTTAAGTCAGCAAGTGGATTGTGCATGGCTCATGATGATGGCAATGCAAAAATATCATTAAACTATTAACGTCTTAGGAAGATTCACAAATATCCCCAGGACTTCCACCTCAAAAAGTATCCTAAAGCAGAAGATTAGTGCTGGATGCAACCACATTTTCTCACGTGATTTGCAACTTTGATCCTTATCCGTGTATTGTTAGTTAATTTTTAATGTTCTATTTTATTGATGGACTGTGCATTGTCTTGGTGTGGTCTGGGACTGTTTTTTTCTGTTGTTTTACTGCCTTGCCCAAGTTTGAGAATTTATGTACTTAGAAATTTAAACTGGTATACTTTAGTTATTTATATTTATTTATATTCAGTGATTTTCTTACCTTTTCTACACTTTGCACTCATATCGTGTTTTTTTGGAATTGTCTGTTGTTGTAACGTTCTAACCCGCGCCTACTGGACATCTGTGAGAAGGAAAAAAACAGCATCACAGCTCATCGGATTCCTCCACGATAAATACAGATTTTGATTCTGAAAAAAAAGAGGACATCTTGGGAACACCAAGACAGGTGGCAACCCTAGGTTCAAGACCCTTGACAAGTTTCTGTTTCAAGCCAAGTGCAATCACTCTCAGCGACAAGGGAGGAGGTACGACCCTTATAGTAACATGTTTTTTTTCGTCAACATTTCTACTTGACCCTGCTGTACGCAGCACGTGGGAGGAATGGCCGTGCGACGGTGAGTACACCGCACTCGCAAACAAACCCAGGGGGCACCGGTTCGATTGCTCTTTCTGCTGTAACCCAGAGGTCGACCGGTTTCCTGAGCGATGTTATTCGTCATGAACTTCATTGTTGACTTCGTTCACGTAACATCTCACACAGGGACCCCAACCGTCAATGGTCGACCATCAACCGAATCAGGACCGGGGGCCCATGTGGCCGATGCGGCCTTCCGATGCCACAAATGGCACCGTCAAAAAGATTCGGGGGCCTGCGAGTGGTGCGGCCACAAATCCCAAAACCGTCGACGGGCATCGTAAACACTCCGCCGCTGCTGCCGCTGCTGTCGTCTTCACTGCTTTAAACGAGGAGCGGACGAGATCCACTCCGCGTCTGAACAATTGAGTGAATAATACATCTAAAATCACGTCTTTCATCTGCCGCTGTTAATCGATACGAAAGATGAAGACCGGTTTGATTGCTGGCGCGGCAGGCTTGAACAACGGGGCAAAGGTTTCAGCAAAAATGTCATCCACCCTCTTGTCTCCGCTCGGAGCGGGCACACCACAGTTTGTGGCGGACGGTGCGGTCGAGTGCGGGCTACCCCCGCCTCTTCCAACACATCGTGATCAGGGTGGAAGATTAGACCAAACACCCTCTCAGAGCTCCCGATAGTGGAGGCCATTCCGCCAGCAGTTGCAGCGCGGCAAGCAACTGCAGGCCTGCACCTTTGCCTTTTAGCAAGCACGTGAAATATTTGGAACATTTTTCTTTTGCATCCACGGTCTGCGGAGACCGCATTCACTCCGCCTAAATCACGTCATTGCCCAGGGGTAGCCGGCAAAATAAAAACCTGAAGCCCATGGCTGATAACAGTATAATGCAGAGAGGTTAACTCATTGGCTATTAATATATCGTCGTCCACACACCTTCAACGGACGGGGGAATATCCACAAAAGAGTTTTTTGGGTTAGATCGCGTAAAAATAAATGTGTCGTTAAACTCGCCAGCACCCGCCACAGCCAATTGGTTAGGTTTGTCACGTAAACAGAACGTGCCAATGCATCACTCGTTCAGCACACCGGTGTGTTGGAGAGTAAACCCACAACATTTACAATTCTAGTACCGTGACGTTTCGCCGGCTATTACAACCAGCCCCACGAGGCGACAGCCAGAGTCGTGGAGAAATCCTCCTCCTGTTTCGGTCTCAAGCAAGAGGGATACACGTGATGTCCGTCGCTTTGCGAGCCAGTCAGGATCTCGACGTGGTCATTCAGCTCGTGCGCGTGTCGCTGCTGCTGCTGCCGTCACGCGTGATGGATTTAAATGCAATAAAACAATTGCTTGGGACAATAAAAAATGGTACGGGAAACTGTGAATGTATATTACGTAACTGCACACAGGAGATCAAGTGTGTTGGATATGATTTTTCTTTTTCAAAAGCACGGCTTGTTTGATTGCTAACAATGAAAAGATCGGACTTGTTGATTTGGAATGTCAATGAGGCAAGCGTGTTATTGTTGTTTATTTTACGTTGGCTGTAAAACGTGTATTTTTCGCCATGGCTGCAGGCACACTCTTTAACCTACACATTGCATAACGTGTTTATGTAATACCCCGGTTCTGCCGTTATCCTGTGTAACCGGGTTGTTATTGAAAATATAAATGATGAAATAATCATAATTTAACGTCACGCATTTTACAGGGGGTTGCAGCTGGCGCTGCTGTAGATCACTGCCAAGGACTCTACAACAATCAATCAAGAGCACAATGCCTCTTTTTGATGGTCGGATGAGAAGAGTTATGGCTTTTGCAAATGTGGATTGATAAAAGTTAAACTAAATATGATAATAGGTTTTTTACCCTTCTATCTGGCAATAAAACTGACACCTTGTTTTTACAAGGAGTCATGTTTACATAGACACACAATACCTGCAGTCATAATGCAAACAAAAAACATAACTCTGATAATGTATGCACTGTCCTTGAAGTTGATTGGTCCACACCCGTAAAAACAAGGTGTCAGTTTTGTTGCCAGATAGAAGGGTAAAAAACCAATTATCATATTTATACTGGCAAATGAGGTTACAATGGGGTTAAACTAAATATCCAAAGTAATCTCTTTTTTTTTTCATCACGTTGCACTCTGTCCACGGCCCGCGTTACGACAGCGTCGTCAAATGGTCGTGCTCCTCTGTACTACAGCTCGCGTCGCAGAAAAGCGTTTCTACACGCGTGTCTATTTCTACACGCGTGTATATTTCTACACGCGTGTCTATTTCTACACACGCATGTATATTTCTACACGCGTGTATATTTCTACACGCATGTCTATTTCTACACACGCATATCTATTTCTACACGCGTGCATATTTCTACACGCATGTATATTTCTCTCTATTGAAAGCATTTTGTCTATAATATAAATGCAGAAGAAACACAAACCGATAACATTTGAGTAAAATTCCATTTGTCACTGCAGCATTGTGATTCAAATGAATTGCCATCACAATGCTGAACATCTGTTTAACAGCCAGTGGTGGAAATTTACTATTCCAATAACAGGGGAGGGGGAGACTCTCTATAAATCAACCACGTGACTCGCCCACAAAGTGGTACTTATTTTATCGACTGCTGGGGGATGATGGGCTGAGTCAAACCCCCCAAATCAGGATTTGAACTCTCAACCTTTCGACTGTGAGCCGTCTCACTCTGCTGCTGGATTCACTCGGTCGGGATTACGCTGAAGGATTCCCAGCTGAAAATCCAGTGCGCCGTGAGCTGTACGACTGATGGCAGATTAATACATCGTAGGGCTTCCTTAGAAACAAAATCAGGCTCAGATCCAAAACGATGGCACCCTGTAGAGACCCACTGACAGACCGTGCCCTCGTATTCTCGATGGGACATGGATTACGGTGCCGAGGAAAATTAGAAAATTAGCATTTTGATTGGACAGAAAATGAGAATGACAAAATTTAAACGTGTAAAAGACAGGATGAAGAAGAAAAAATAATAACGAATAAGAAATGTTGAAAACGCTTACAAAATTCCAAGTCAACATAACATGACAGCTTAGTTGCATTCATGCAAATTACTAACACCAAATAGTGCCGAAAGTTGAAAAACAATTCAAATACTCAGCCTCAACTTAGCCTCAAGTGTGTCACTGATGTAGACCCTACCTAGTACAAAGTTACCCTTGCTGACACAGCAATAGTTAAACATTTTCTAAGACTGCTCGAAGATCTTTGTCTTTGCTTATACAGGTTTCCCTCGCTTTATGCGGGTTTGGTTTCTGCAATTTCGCGAACATGCGGCTCATCCATTTCTCCCTAAAATTCGCGATATGCGGGTTGAATTCACTCGTGAGCGGCTATGCGGTCAGATGTGGGACAACACCGTGTGTACTGTGTACGCTACTCGGCAAGCAGCTGTCTAGTGCAATGCATTGTGGGTTAGGTGACTGTGGAAGTCTATGCTACGCGATTTCACATTGTGCACCATTTTCGTGGAATTCAACTACTGCATAAGGCCAGGGAAACCTGCACAAAGACCCACAAGTCTCTTTTAAAGCTCATAATTTAACGTTCAAAACTATCCCCGTAGAATGTCTGCAGTCGTCTAGTACGAAGAGTTAATTCCATCCATCGTAATCATGAGCCCTTGACACCTTTTGATCCACAGGGAGAGTGAGTGGGTGGAGGCAGAAGCGAGAGGATGATTGAGAGATTTTGTACCGAGCTGGGAATTCCCCCTCAGCAGCTGTAAGCATCAGAATATGTATTTATAATGGAGGAATCCGTGAGCTATAAAGCTCTTTTTCACTGATGGGAGCGGCATGAACGATGCACACAGTTGAACCGGGCAGGCAGCTCAGCTGCAGGAGTGCGGGCTCGCGAACGCAAGGCTGCGAGTTCCAATCCCGATTGTGGGTTGATGAAGCACAACATCACAACATCACTCCGTGGTCGATCAATTATATACCGTCTTGCGTACCATGTTATGGGGGAGTCAAAAGTGGTTGTTCTAGCGGTAAACTCGCCCCTGCCATACCACCGTAGAATTTCCGCCACTCGCTTTGGGCCGTAAATGCGAGACGAGCAATTGCCCCATGCTCATTTGAGCAGGAAATTATTTCGTTTTTTTTGCCGCTGTTATAGACGAGTGTGCCTTCTCCCTCTCCGCCTGTTAACCCCCGTCCCCTACCTGGGGATTTTTAAGAGTCCATGATTTTCAATGTCCGCTCCTTTACGATGGACTACTCGGCACTGCTGTCACATCCTATGGACGGTGATGCTCGCAGGCTACTCGCTGTCTCGGCAATCCTGTTCCTCCACGTCTGCGCAGATTTTGGCGGTTTAAGTAACAACGGGACTGCGTCGTTTTGAAAAGCGTGCCGAGAAACATCGCTGTCAATGCAAAAGATCGTGAAGGTGCAGCCCTCGCGATTGCCACTGCTGACAGAACAGCCAGCTGGAGCAAGATCCAGAGACCCTCTCTAGAGGGTAGACGGTTCATTATTCGATACCAGCCAGTCATCGTGGAAGTACCCACTCTTTACCCCACTGCACAGCGACATGCCGATCGACTAATTGTGGTGCAGCCGTTTAGACCGCTGGGTGGACAGATGCACCGTTGTTTTGACTGCTGCGCCGGGAGATAGAACCGGTCTAGTGTGCTCACCGTGATAATTTTCTTGTGCAACTCAGATCTTGTACTGGAAAACCTCTGTACGGCCGCCGCAAGACACTCATAACACAAAGGCCTAGCAGTTTATTGGGGCCCTTCCTGCTGAAATAAATAAAATCTATAAAAAAATATATCCATCACTGATGTACACGTCTCTTGTTTCATGGCCTGTACAGAAGGTGGGATAAACTCATGAAACAGACGCAAACAGTTGGAGGCCACTAATTTCTTATTATCCAAGCAATGACGTTAGACCATTCGGATCGAGGGCATGGCACATTCCGCTTTTTCTATTCCTTCTGTCCTTCTTTCTACCTACTCCTCACTCCATCAGTTTTCAATCAATAAGTATTGTATGTATCAGCCAGAATGCACAGGTGAGGAAGAATATTTTTACACAGTGTGGTCTTAAATTATAACGGCATCGCCTGGGTTTGCTGTGTTGATGGGGTAGGGCTGTGCCCCACGTGGGAGGGGGTAATAGATGCACACAAATCTAAATTGAGGCAATTTATTTGAGGCGAGTATGTCTGATCGTCTGCTGATGACAGTGATAGAGGAATATCGTGTGCTTTCGCTGCTGGGTTTTTTTTGTAAGTTTAGTTTCATTGTCGAAATGTTTCTTTCTAGACCTGTATGTTAAGACCAGGCTGGAATTAGATTTTCATCTGCATAACCAGGTTTCTCCATTTATGTTTGGCAAACATGATTGAAAAATATGTTTAAGTAAACATATTTCTCTTTACTTGTTTAGTGGATGTGTATGTGGATTATATGAACCTCATGGCGGTACCATAGTACCCCGGCTCTCGCTTAATGTCCGTGGTGCAGTCATTTTTAGTCTGTTGATGGTCGGCCATGCGGCAATCGACTCATCTCGACGAGCTATACATGATGCACCACGACAGTGTGTACGAGCGTTCAGGGTTTAAGCGCAATCGTCCTCACTACGTTTCGACTGATTTCGGATTGATTGGTACCCCAGTCGTGGAGTTAAGTACATCCCGAGAAAAAAATGGTGTCCCAGAAATAAAATATTTAATTGCCTCGGCCATTTTGTATTATTTAGTACCCCAGGTTACCGCCATTAGGATCATATCATCGATCTCGTGGTTAAAAACACGCCAACCAAAAACATATTTATCATGTACATTCATCATTGCCATCATCGGGCTTGATCCATGCACCACTGGATGATGGCCTCCCCCAAGCCGCAAAGCTACTGCCACGATCCCGCCACGTGACAGCGCGCGCGCACAGGCCGATTTCGACAACCGTATTTGTATCACATTTAAACAAAAACTGTATCCTGGTTATGCAGTGTCAGAATCATCTCTCGAAACGTCACAATCACACCGGGGCTTTAAGCACGGAGCTGGTCAGTCATTGATAGGGGAGAGGAGGGGCGGGGGAACGACAGGTAAATAAGGATCATGCCGCGGCGCTGCACTCCTCAACGAACCAACACAGGCTGGACGCTCAGGCGAAAGGGAAGGTGTGTCGGTTGGGGGGGGATGGGGGTGGCGACCGCGCTCAGTACTCCTCCGTGGACGTGTGCGGGGATGAGTAGAAGCTCGACGAGCGGGAGCCCGGCACGGAGCAGGCCGCCTCTGCCGTGAGCGCCGCCATTTTGGGCGAGATGCTGTTGGGGTCCCGTGCGCCGCCACCGCCGCTCGTGAGCGAGAATCGGCGGGCCGCGTTCCCAGCGCCGCGCGCTCGGGCTCAGCCAGCCGTCCCTGTCGGCGGCCTGGAGCTTGAAAGGCCCCGCTCCTCCTCCTCCACTTGCCGCTCCTACCGCGGCCGCCATTGCCGCGGCCGCGGGGCCGCCCTCCAGCTCCCCGGTCTCGGCCACCAGTGTGAGGTTGGACTCGATGCGCGACACCGTGTAGGTGCTGCCGGCGCGCGCCTGGAGGCAGCGCGTCGACTTGAGCTCCAGCTCCTCGTAGCTCGACACGTCCACGAAGGGGCACCAGCGGAAGGCCCGCTTGAAGCCCACGCGGAACCTGCGGGGGCGGCGAGACGTCACGCGGGAATTGTCAATGCTCCGCTAAGATTTAAAATTGGGGGCTTTTGCCCCCCCCCAGCACCCCCCCAGCCCCACCTCCGGCCCCCCCAGCCTTCTCCCCACCCCTCCCCAGCTCCCCCAGCCCACCCGCATGGTGACTTGATTTGTTTCGCTTTGTTGGGAGAGTGGAGGATGATAGTTAACATGATTTAACATCATACCTACGTCGTCATCATCATCATCACGATCCATGGGCAGATAGCCGCGTAGGTGTCCACTGCACATTTCGTCATTTGTTTCCACATTCCTCTCTGTCCTGTGCCACTATGCTCAAGCAGTGCCACATCTTTCTGACACCAATCTCTTACGTCGTTGCTGTCCATCCTACATATGTGACCAAATAGTGGCAATTTTTTTCTCATACTGCCTGCATTAGGTCTTCTTCTATGTTGGTCATCACAACATAGACGTAACCTCACCATCTAGTTTAGTTTGTTGTCCTATCCACGTACCTACGATTAGCATGGTTTGCTACATAAGGTGCCAAAGAAGTTCAGCATACATACATTTAACCCAAAAGAAACCAATTGTGAATTAACATCCGCTGTGTTTGCCGCACGGTGCATTCAAAAATAAATAAGGGGTTAAGAGCAGCTCAAAGTTGGATCACAAGATGCCCCGAGAGATTTGAATGTGTAGTTCGTTGTACATTGTAACGCTTGGACTGATGCTTGGGCACACTTGCGCTGGTGCCACATTAAACAATCCCCGTCTGTCGGGGAAATGTCACGACTCGGATTTCAAAGGAAGAAAAGAAAAAAAATCTAATTACATTTCACCCTTCAATGGGAAATCCCACCACGTGCCCTCATTCCCTTGCCACACAGCTCTTCTCCATTCCAACGATTAATTCGAGGCTTCTCTGTCTAGCACGGTTGGCTACGTCCGGTGCGAAAGAAGTTCAACATACAACCCGTCCGAGTCACTCATTCTAAGTGCGGTCGAGTGTCAATTGGAATCTCTTGTTACCACTCATCGCCGGCTCCTGAAAAAAGAGTCATGCCTGAGTCTTTCCTGGGTTAACAAGCATCGTAATAATAATAACAAAAATAACAGTGCAGAGATCTATAGACTCCTTTGTGAGAATGAATACTCCACTGGTGGAGAGATGCACATGGAGACAATGCTGATGCGATAGCGAGACAAGGCTGGCAGCCAGGGCTGTTTTCATTCGTTAGGTAAAGAGCTCGCGATCGCATTTTGCCAAAAAAGTTTTAGTATTGACATTGATGGACTTCCTCAACTTGTGTAAGCATTTCTCCATTATATACCTGGGCACTAAGCCGTTGCAATACAGAATAACAATAGCCCCCTTTGTTGGCTCACTGCTGAATGAAGGCCTCCCCACAATCCTGTCCCTAATGGAGATTGCTTGACCACACAGTGCTACGCTGGTCTGTGTGGGCTGGTGTGTGGACAGCATAAACGGACTGTTTCAAATATCAAGCATCGCTCGCCAATGATGATAGCCAATCGCCTTGGTGGCCGGGGATCAAAGTCAGGTCTGCCCGAGTCATTGGCACAGTGGCGGCTAACCACTGCGCCACCGCCTTTTACATTCATGTCGTGCCTTTAAGGTCCAATACATCACCCCGTTCTCTCAAACTCTGTGAGCTCAAGAGTCTGCGTGGGATGCTGGGTGAGCATTGCCCTCAGTGGGCGGCGATCACGAAGATTTCGGTCCAGCCCTGGGTCTTTCATCGTGAGGATTAATTTGGCCTTGAATCATGTGCCCGCTATTGGCCACGCCAACATATTGACATCTGTGAAAAACAGCTTCACGGCTAGTTGGACTCCTCCAGTATAAATACATATTCTGGTTCTGAACGCGGTCCAATCGATCGTCTGGGTCTCGGTATAGCCAAGGGATCGGTAAACGCGACTCTTGCAAAACTCAGCATCGTCGTCATCGCCATTAATTGCCAGGAATCTTAATGCAACACCCTCTTCAAAGCTGCTGCCGCTGTTGAATCATGCTACATCAATGAGCATAATTACCAAGCTATGGTTACAGGGAGCCCAAAAAATGTATACATTTGCATGTCAAACGGCAGCAAGAGGCAATTGTGCATTCTCACATTCAACGTTTTTAAACGTGAAAGTGATTTCCTGCCCTAATGAGCGTAGATGCGTTGTCCATCTCCCATTTGCAGCCATGAACCAGTGGTGGAAATTCTACATTCCCATGCCGGGAGCAAACTTCATCCACAGGACAACCAACCACTGTTGACTTCCCCATAAAGTGGTAATTGGTATATCATTGAACACTCCGATTAGCACGGTTGGATATGTACAGTGCTAATAAAGTTCAACATACATACATGAACACCAGAGGGATGATTGGCTGGGTCAACGCCCAACCAGGCTTTGAACTCGGAAACTTTCGATCGCGAGCCGCTTGCTCAACCGCTGAGCCACTTGCAATGCCGGTATGCCAGTGGACTTGGGTCACTCTTTGCGAATGAGGCCCTGTCCTTGTCTCTCAACTTCTCGCCCTGGCCAAGCGAAATGACTTGAAACGTACATTGCAGATCATTTGGCTGGGGTGCGCTTGTAGAGAAGACAGCGTCTTAGAGAACATTGGGGCAATGATATATAAATAATATGAACAATAATGAGAATCAACATAGCAATGTGCCTTAACAATAACGTATTCAATTGGTTCATATCACCTGTTACGGGACGTGGATCGGACTCGAATGAGAAGGAGCTGCAAAGTGTCCCAAGTAGAAGAATAATAATTATCTCAGTATTTGCCCATTCTCGATGAGAGAGAACTTATGAGAAGCCCGAGGAAGCACCGCAGACAAGCGGGAAGGCAGCCAGTTGGTGAGCCGGTGCTACCAAGCTCTGCGCTCCGCTGTATGTTCAGATGCGAGCACACGGCACGTTAGCCAACTGCCGTAGTCGGAGGTGCGGGGGAAAGGACAACAACAAATTTGACACAAAAAGCAGTTCCGAAAGAAAATCAAAAATGAGCATTCGCATGGAGGGATACGTGCCGGAAATTACGATGGGAAGCAGGAAGGGGGAAGACGTGGATTGGTGGAGACGTGAAATTCACCAATAACGAAAGCAAAGCGGGCTCTGATGGGACACATCACGAGTGGTGCCGCTGAGGTGGCATTGAACAACATCGATTGAGTCTCCACTTCAAAAAAACACGATCAACATTTCGACGCGTTCATCTGACGTTGCTCGCCGCACGTTGATTTCACAACGGTGCAACGAGACATTTAAAATTCCGATTGTAAAGGCGCGGTAAATCAGAGCCTCTCACGTGAGTGTGTTTCTTCTGCCTTGTGGGCAGCGGTGGTGTCGAGGTTCGCATGGCGCGCTACAAGCCTGGCCACCCGAGTTCGATTCCCGCTCACGGCCAACACCAGTGACGATTATCTGAACCGGTCATCGGCCTCCCCTAGGTCGACTCAGCCTCAAACGAGTACCTGGTGTGGTGTGTAAACATCGCCACTGGGGAGACAAAGGTGGCCTGGCGTGGTGCTGGCCACCCACCCCGTCACGTGCTGTGCTGGCCTTCATAGGTGCTCGCTAACAGCACTTGCCCCAACAGTCTGTTAAGGCTATATGGGGGATCTTTAATTTGTTTCTTCTGACACCGTTCTGTGGAGGCATGCTGAGCGCTCTTACATAACTTCGATGTAAATTCTACACGTGTACCACACATATACCAATGCAGTAGTCCTTCGGTTAAGGGGTTTAATCCGTTCCACGGAAACTACTGTGAAACCGAAATTATTGATGATCGAATTCACTTAGAATTTGAAAAGTAAGTAGAAATCACCGAGTCTGCAAGAGAGCTGTTTCCACTGCCAAAACAGAAAACGCAATGTCAATTAAGCCAGTCGAGGTGTAAACCCTCATAAATGGACTTCGCTTGTTGTCTGAGGGCATGCCTCAGCTCCCTTTACAAGCGCTCTAATTGGCCGAAATTGGGGTGCTTTGAGAGGCGAAAGGTTAACCGAAAACCCGTTAACCCAATGTCACTGTTAACCGAGGGACTACTGTATCAATGCAAATGTTATGCAGGCGCCCGTTCTATATGGGAGAGACTGGCTCCCACTGGAGCAATGCGCAATTCTCCAACATTCACTCCGAGCCTGTCGTGATGGTGTGAGCGCGCAAACCCTCTGGCGCCTTGTTCCCACCTCGACGAGAAAGCCGACACATTGGGGTTGTGTTGTTCCTTTCTCCCCCCTCGTCCACCCATTGCTGGTAATAGAGACATCGGCACGTTCACGGAAAACGCCTCGCAAGTGAACGCTCGTCAAAGGTGAGGTGGCTTGGGTCGCCAGGCAGCTCCTCAGAGGTCAGAGTGCTCAGCCGGCACAGCTGAGGGCACTGGGTTAGAATCCATATCTCAGCTGCGTGCGACTAAAACTGGTTTCATCAAAGCGTAGGGAGTTGATGGTTTTATTCCCCGGTCAATATTGGCTGACATTGAGGCCCGTCGAGACCCATAGACTTGCACAGAGACCCATTGATTAAAATAGACTGAGTTGTGGTTAAAATGGATTCTCAAGCATAGTGAGTTGGTGATCTCAGCTGGGTCAACAATGGCTCGCATAGAGGTCCATCGAGACACATAGACTCACACAGAGACCCGTAGACTCACACAGAGACCCGTAGACTCACACAGAGACCCATATATCCACATAGACTTAGTTGTGGTTAAGCTGGATTCTCACGCGTAGTGAGCTGGTGGTCACTGATGACTTTGTTCCGCACTTAATTGGACACAAGTTCTGAGAATTAAAAAAAATAAGCATAATAATACTGCACGGTTCAATTCTGAAGATCAATAAACAAGAGCTCCACGTACACTCCAATTAATCTGCGAATATTAAACTTTAAAAATGCGCCCGTACGGTAATGAGCAAGGGCTTCAAGGACTGCTTGTGGCCATGATGTCTGCGCCAT